TTTCAGAGGTCATACTGCCTCCGTCATCAGGGCAGCAACAACCCAGAAGACGGAAATCTTCAAATTTACTTTGATAATTTTTTTAAATTATAAAACTTTAAAAGCTATGTTGTTATTAAAACGGTAACAAAATATTTACATTGGTTGTGCTGTATTTGCTGTTTAACTAAGTCTGCAATTATATGAGAACATCAAGATTTATACCTTCAGAAGAGCTGATACGGAAAACCTGCTACTTGCTAATTCTTACGTAATTCAGAAATTTTCTGCTGTGGTAACCTAACAGAGAAAAAGTTATATCTCAAGTTTTCGGCCGTGGATCTTATTGTGTCAAATAATATATGCGCTTTACATTATGTCCACTTCTCGCCCAGGTCCGTGACGATATGCGAACAGCAGGAGTGATGCCTTCAGAGGACCTAATCTCGAAACCCGACTCGGGAGAGAGATCCCCTTGCTCGTTCGACATCAGTCAAGCTGAAAGGGAGCCGGAGTTGTGATGCTGAGCTACGCGTCACTACCACCAAGGAGAGGCTGCTATTAGTGTACACACCCTGGACAACTGCTCAAATGAACCCGGGTCTCCTACAAACGTCCTCGTGGCAAACGAAAAGACGCCAGCTGAACAGCACTGGGTGCAGGAACTTAACACTTGTGGCAACCACGGCACACTCTACGGAAAGAGGAAATTATGAAAGTTCAAGGAAAGGTGGATGAAGTCAGGCGATTTGAGGGTCTTTTATGTTTCGTATATTTTACCTTCGACGCAGACTTGATTAACGAATTAAACGGTAAGGTAAATGTGCACAGTGGACTTCAAAAATATGAAGGCAGTGACCGTCGCCTGTTTCTCAGTACTTTACCTGAATTTTCCCGGAAGGACAAAAGAAAATTACAAAGGTCTCAGCCAGGACACTTTGTGTCTAATATGCGACTTGTAATGGTTACCTCTAATATGAACGCGTCACACATACTCGGTTCCATATTTCTAATACGTATTAAATTTATTTGAGACTTATAATTGTTATCACGTCATAATAGAGCGGAATACATCGACTGACATAACACAATACTTAAGCGGACGCTAAATGTTACGTTATGAACTATTATTTTTGAGACTGGAAACATAACCATTAACTTGGTTGTGTCAATGCAGCGTCAAATTTTGCCGTTCAGTGATCACCTAGAAGCACGGTGTAAAAATGTATTTTATTATTGGGGTGATCTCCAGTGTGTAGTGGGGCCTCTATCTCTTCTGTGTAATCTCCCATTGAGATTTTCCGATCAAATGCATTCCTTATTTCCCCACGCGTACAACATTTTTCGACCACGTCCTGTTTCTTTATTATATGTCTGAAATTCCTTCGTGAATGGTATGAGTTTGGAGAACAATTTATTATAGGCCTACCACAAAGTCAGATTTTGATTATTTTAGCTGTTAATGTTATGGCATAAAGATTAGGGATGATAAATAAGGATACATGTACATGGAGTCGATCGTGGTCTAAAGAAATAAACATTAGAGTGCAGTATCTGACAAAGGCTGCGCGATAATTAGTAAGGATAGCTTCACTCAGCTTAGATTCGAACCAAGTTCCTACCTCTACCATTGTGCTAACCCGTTCAGCATCTTATAGTAAGACCTTAATTCAGTGCACCTCACAATTGTAGTCATGTGTGACAATCGAAGTAACACGAATGTGTGAAACAATGCTGCTCTGTTGCACAATTTAGATAAAAAAAATACTGCTTTTTAACCCGTGGACCTTGTATCGTAAAATAAATCCCAAAATATTCCTTGGAACATATGTGTTTCACAAAATATAACAATTTTGTTTGTAAAAACTAATCTATGTATTTCTTGCATGTAAATTTACATATATAAAATACAATCAGAATGCTGTCTCTGGTACACTGATAATGTTTCGATACGACAGCTATTAACTAATTCATAGAGCAGTCCTCCTTGAAAAGTTAATAGTCACTCGGATAGTCAATAACTTTCCCTGCTTTTATGTAATTCGAAGGTTCATTGCCGCATTCAAAAAATCCTGTCAATTTGATCACAACGGTTATGAAGACACGGTTTCAACAACCATCTTATAAACCTCTTAGAATTGAAGTGGCGGTGGTTATCAGCAGCAAGAAAGAAGTGGCCTATTAAAACGCTGACAATATGTCAGAGAAATTTCACTGACTCACAAACCCCAGAAACATTACAAAGTCTAAATTGTGAAAATTAGACGGAACTGAAGATTGTGTGTATTGTTCTTTTATAAATGGATATTATAATTATCTATGTATATGTATTGTCATCTGTTAATAAACAGTGGTTCATATACTTCAGTAAGCACGTCACAATCAATTATTTTTTTCAACTTAAATATAAATAATAATATGAATATTTTTGGATGACAAAAGAAAAAAATCTTACAACGTATATTTTCAAAAAGTGTTGCAATGAACGTATGAAGATGGCAAATATTAATTTGTTCATCCGTATATTTAATCTTTGAAACCATAAATCGGTTCCAATGGAACGGTGTGCAAGTTTCATCAATACCATTTCAGCGGTATTTTTAAAATCCAGAAATGTATTTCCTATGTGGCTTCAAACAAAAACAGAGAGAACGCTATTATAAACACTTTATCTCACAAGGTCAGTTTCTGATTTGATATTCACGGGGGGGAAAATTACACATTTCAAATAAGAATACAATTACTTTCAATAAACTTGTAATTCATGTAAAAATTACAGTTCTGAATAAATATAACTATGTAAACCAAAATCATAAGCTACGTAGGAATCGAGAAAACGAGCTACGATGTACTGACGCTAGGAAATAATGTTTGTAGTGTGGATAATATATGCTTCCTTACTATCTACCCTTCCCATCCCTCTGATAACTACACCATTTACTTCTAACGGATCTCAAGCGCACAGATTCGTCCCCACTACATTACAATTGTGTCTGCAATAAACGAATATCCTAGTCACGTAATTACGCAAAGTAGAAAAAATAAATTCAATCTTACTCGTCACAATATTTCGTTCAGAAAAATAAACGTGTTATATTTTTACTTTTCGTGTTTCTCCATCGCCCTGATGATAAAGGCAGTAAGGATCTCCGAAATGTCGGCAAACTTCTAGCAGACTGCACAGCGCAACAACCCAGAAGACAGCCATCTTTCTTCTCTAAATCACGTTCTTTCATCAATTATCAGTTCTCAGACTAAAGCGCTACACTCCTATCATGTGATAATTGTTCTCCTAACTATAATGCTACTTCTCCTCTTTCCAACGTCCAATTACATGTTACTGATTTTAGCACGTGCCTCAAAATTTATTTTAATTCAGTCTGGCTACACTAAGTAATTTCTCCATAGCCGCTGATGCTTTCCGTCAACGTTCCTCTTTAATTTGAAAATCCGATCCTTGAACGACAAATCTGAACTCTCTTTAATTTAAATACATAATCAATAAACGGTAACAATACAACCATCTACAAATTTACCGTGGCTGAACAACCTACACATCACGGTGGCACATTCAGAAGCCTCACAAATAAGTTGTACGATTCGAGAGAAAATCTCCATGCTGTGAGCTCCTTATGTGTATATTCTCTAGGAAGCAAACCTCCGACATTAATCGAACACGCAGAAGAGCTTATATTGTTTTGCTCAATTAGGGAACTACAAAAAGAAGGACTGAACCCGAAACATCGATACGCACTTAGGCGGTATCTTCATTTCAAATAATTATGGTAGAGCAGACGCTGAAAAGGAGCCAGGAGCAATGCTTCGATAACAAAGGTAAAAGGAAACTTTACAAACATTTTACACAGAAGTAGTGATATTCTTAAAATTTCTGTAAACAGTCTTCCGGTTCTGCGCGAAAATATTCAAAATTAACAGTGAACAAATACCAAAAAAAAAACTAATAATTAGTTTCAACACGAGCAACACAATATTTCATTCGCTCCTACAAAATTTTAATAAAAACCACGAAAGAAACGGTAAATTCAAAAGCCGTTAACATAAGCTCCATTAAAACGGAATAACTTTTTCATTGCAAGAACCGACTAGCTCTCTGTATGGATCAGAATCCTAGAGCAACCAATCAAGACATTCCCCGTCTCTTATGGATTCAAGGTTCATTACCGTCTTCGCAAGTGTCTGCCACGGGTCCGTATACTCAGCCACACTGATCCAATAAAACCGTCCACACCTATTTCCGTAAGATCTGTTTTAATATTATCCTCCTGTCTGCGCCTAGGTCTTCTAAGTGGTCTCTTCCCTTCAGACGTTTCAACTAACATTTTGTACACATTTCTCGTCTCCACTACACGCGCTATATGCTTCGACCTCCTTGAGTTTCTAATCCTGCTAGATATATATTTTTATTTTGCGAAACAAATTTTGTAAACGTGCATTTTTAAAACCTCAGCAGAGTCGATCGTTTACTGGGAATGACTATAGCACTCGAAAATACTTAGAGAGCTCTTGTAGCCGGTACTTTCTAGGACGAAGAAGATTAAGTAGCGTGTCAAGAGATGGCGCAGCGGTGATTCGTAAAGCCATCGATTTTGCACTAAAGTTATCTGACCGGCATTGTAAAACGATTTGTTAAAAAAGAGAGAATTGGTAAGCCTACTACGAGATTAAACCTCGGCCATGAGGTCCGAACTCTGGAGAGAAAATTAAGACCGTACTCTCGAATACCATATATTAATGCTCCTCACGTCACTGGGGTTTGATTTTCGTCTGCCATCGCGTCAGAACGGTCCAGGGGCTCATTGGCCCTGTTCCTAAAGAATGAAACTGTCAGAGTCTGAAGTGTCGCGGTATAGAATGCTTGAGGCTTTGCGCCAACGTCCTCTACACGCTTTCGTGGCGTGTAGGTAAAGAGACAACTTTGCATCTGTGAAAATTCTGATAACGTAGCTTAAAGTGCAACATGTTTACTTCATTCAACACAACACAACAGTCTTTAAAAAATTACTGAACAGTCTGTATAGATCCCAGGGCGATATTATGTAAGCAATAAACAATCCGATGGCATTGGCAAAAACTAACTTTTTTATTTGTAGTGTTGTGTCTGACGACAGGTCCATATGAACAGGATCCTTCCATCCTTTTCTCGGACTGGGACCTGTTCATATACGTTCTTGGCAGATGATCCAGAAGTGGTTTGCCATTGCCTTCTTCTGTGTGAGTGTGAATGGAGTAATTGTTGGGATGCCAAGGAGAAACCGGGGAAGAAGCCCCCGGAGGAAAACTCCGTGTTGCCTAGACCACGGCCTTGCCCAACACAAGTTATAAATTCGGGCACCGCCGGGAATCGAACCCGAGACCCCAGGATTACAAGGCCAGCGTTCTAACCGCTAGACCACCGTGGCAGATAAAGACTAACAAATGAAATAAAATATGGCATCTTGAAACTGGAAACAAAAAACAAAAATAATATTTACATATCTATTTCCAACAACCTCTTTAACTAATGTAGTATAGCTTTAAATTATCCTGGATATATGCTTAAAATACAATATATTGTTGGTTTATCTCTAGTCGCATTGTGCAATATTTGTGGCAGTGCTGTCATATTTCATCCAAGAACCCTCATCTAAAGAGCTGGATATTGTTTTCATGAAGTATTCGATTATGTAAGAATTATCGCAACAAACTTGTACATTTTTCCATGAAATAGAAATTATAAAATTACAGGCAATCCTATTCTGTTTTAAATTTCATACAAAACCTCACACAGACATAACTAAGCCACATTTTTATTCTACGTTGTTTCTTGTTATGAGCTGCGAAATACTTACAGACACGTTTTCTAGCTAAAGGTCTTGAAAAAGCACCTGGCACTGACGTCCGATCATTATATGGAACTTCGTCCATCTTTTGTGGCTGTAATTAATTGTTAGTACTGTTGGCAAACAACGTAATTAAGTTCAATAAAGTTAAATTATAAAGATACTAAGAGTAGTAAGACATGCTTCAGCAGAAGAAATGTGTTTTTCCTACTTTACACACCAAGTGTCCTTGATGTTAATTTATTTCAAACACAAATACATTGTTCCGAAGCCACTGGAACTTCAGATATGAAAGAGAATACAAACGGAAAATATTTTTGCCAATATTTATAAATAACTAACATTGGAAAATGATTTTCTTTTTTCAAAATAGTTTAAACTTTAATCAGTTACGTTCTTTATGTTACAAGCAACTCCGTTCGATGAGGCGTTTTTGTAGAAAATTAATAAAGATCGCTTTGAGCTTGGGCCGATATGCGTACTGTACAGTGAGGTCATTTTGAGCCCAAATGAGCTTCAGTGAATTATCCCGACAACTAATTTTTAGACCTTTTATGCAAACTTGTTTTTCGATACCTGTTTAGTACTTTTAGTGTTAAACATTTGGACAAACGGTCGGATATGACCTCTTAATAAGAGTTAATTCTATCCACTACGTACACAGAACTGATATTTCTCGGAAAAATTCTTATCTGCTGGTGAAACCAATAACTAACATCCTG